TTTCCTAAAAAATGACAATAAATTCGGTAAAGGACATTTTTGAAAAATAGAATTTTGCTATCAAAGAGGCAAGATATGTCCATCAAACTTTGTACAGATAATTTTGAAGTAATTTTAGATATCGGTAAAAAAAAAATTAGGCTCGAAATGCAATTTTAGCCACCAAAGGAGATAACCTTAAAATTTATCCAACCTTTCCCAAGAATCATTGCAAAATTTTTAAAATTTTTCTTTTGTATTTGAATCCCAAAAATTAATGGCTTTCTAATTGTTGTAACGATTATATTATTATGCCGAATATAAATATTGAAGAAATATATTTAAAGAAGCTTAAGATATTCTCATAACCTCAATCAACCGCAAAATTTTCTTTTCATATTTTTTTATACAAATCATAATTAGCTTTGCCTGCCACAATGCCATAATTTTTGAAAAACAAACTCGAAATGCCCAAGATAATTTCCAGATCCTTTTGGATCGACAAAATTCCGAATAAAAACAAAAAAGGTATTCCATTGGGACGTCCGAAAAAAAAAACAAAAAAAATTAGATCATACCCTTTTCAAGGATAGAAAAAAAAAACGAAACGTGGATCATTTAAACCCTGGGACAAAGGATCAAAGAAGCAAAAAAATCCCAAGATAGTAAATGAAGAAACATCAAATCAATGAGAAACTGCAATCCATTAATGTCACCCCAGAGAAAGGAAGGCAAAAAAGACCTTTACGATCTTTACCAAGATTTAGCCCAAGGACACACACAAGCATGCGCCTGGGTGCCCTGAAAAAAAGCCACCCCAAGGAATTCCTATCTAGGGTGAGTGGCATGCCAAATATGCCATTAAATTAAAAAAAAAGGATCACGTCAAGAAATAGAGCATCCCAGACGAAAATTTGCCGCTCATTTGTTATGCCATCAAAGGATAGCAAAAAAAAAAAATCGAGCAATTTTTAGCATTATCAAAGAGCGACAAAGATTCTCCAAAAAAAGGGAAAGGTAATAAAAAAGGAGGCTTAGCTTCTTAGGGACAAGGAAGTGGCGGGCCATGGCTTTTGAAGAAATTATACTTATTTGGTTAATAGCTTGGCTTAAGGTCATTAAAAAACTATGTTTTTATTTTTGAATTTTTCCTTTTTTTTATTCATCCAATATTTCGATTTCCTCCGGAAATCATCTTCAGGGATATTTTTAAAGTAAAAAGCTCGTCTATTGAGTTTAAATGTCACTATCAAAGAAATTGTCAAAAGAAAAGTGAAAGCAACACAGACTTGTCACGCGTTCATTGCATTTTCTCTCAACGAAAATTAATTAAGAAGGCGGGGTAACAGAACATTTTACATGGCCAGAGGGGAAGGGAAGGGGCGGAACAACTTTCAGTTACGAAAGAAAAAGGAAAATAATAATTATTTCATTTTTTTCAACATCCTACCATTGATGCTGGGTTACCCAGAAGGACTTTGGGTTTCCAATCTTCGGCTTTAGATTTTTTTCCTAAAAGACCCTTAGAACTGAGTTAAGGATATTTTAGAGTATTGGATTCAAGCTTTCATTTGTGGGTTTGTTTGCGCACAACGGGTAAAAAGTTCCCGAGATATGTGACCGTTGGTGTTCTAACGAAAAATGTTAGAGTGATGGATTGCTTCCGAGTTCGACGGGAGCATAACAATTTTTCTTTAATTTTTACTTATTTTCCATCAATGGACAATTTAAAGTAGCTAATCCTAGCTTTCATTTAAGGCCACTTTCATAAAGATCGCGCAAGTAGTTCCGGACTTATGTTCATTTAAGCACAAATACAATGCAAATCTATTTTCAGGGTTTTCACATTGTCATTTGATACAACCCTAAAGGAAGTTGTTATGAAGGCGGTACTGCGGCAAATTATACATGGCTGTAGAGGAAATAAAGAAGTGGTATATGTTTGTTTTAAGAAAAAATGGATAATAGTAACTATTTCCTAAACTTTACTCGATAGAAGCAGACGTTATTACTCTTTGAAATCCTACCAGTGAGGTCAAGTTGGAATCGCGTTTCTTGGGTATCTATTCTTTGACCCATAACTTTTTTCCAAGATAACATATAAATTGATACCAGAATATGTTAAGGCATTGAATCATAGCTTTCATTTAGGGCCAAGATTGTTCCGATCAGGTTCCCCCTTCCAAAGATACGGCCCAAGTAGTATTCTAACAAAAAATCTTAGAGCTGAGATCCCTGTTCGATATCTACAGATACATAATTGAATTTCTGCTTTAAATACGCAAATACCTCCAAAGGATGGTTGGTAACGGAGTCTCTTGGCTTTCATTCAAGTGTACTTTCGATAAGATCGGGCGGCTAAAACCTGAGTTAGGCCTATGTAAGTACATGCGCAATGATACCATCAATACGGTGGCCGTATTGAAACGAATGGAAAACGGAAAGGAGTTGAAATATTCTACTAAAATTTTTCACAGATCAATTTAATAAGATAATCTAATTGTACGCCAATTTTAAGGAGCCTAGTTGCACCTAGGTCAAAGTTACGAACCCAGAAATTTTCAAAATGTAAATAAAGAATATTATATTTACATCACTGATGTTTTTAAGGGAGCACGATTGGTGACAAGTAGGAATTGAAATATGTTCCTAATGAAATATTTTTTCAAAAATTCTCAGAAATAGTGGTGAGATATGGTCCAAGTATGGTTCCAAATTTTGTGACCCATGGTGCTCTAGGACCGGAGTTATCGATCCATAAATATCTACATTTTTGACTCGCTTTTTAATAGGGTGAGACTGGATACTGGAACGAATTAAAATATTATTTAAAAAATTCTTAGGAATAATGATGAGATATTACCCTAACAGCATTCCAAATTTTGTGATCATTGGTGCTCTAGGACAGGAGTTATCGATCCATAAATATCGATATTGTAAGTAGTAAATATTCGATTTTTACGCTGACCTTTTTTAAGAGAATGCGTTTGGATACAAGAAGAAATTGAAATATTTTTTCAAAAATTTCCAGGAATAATTTTGAGATATGGCCCTAATATGAGTCCAAATTGTGTGAGCCTAGCTGCTACAACGTCGGAGTTATAAGCCCATAAATTTCTATGATGTAAGAAATGAGTATTAAATTTTTTGAAGATTTTTTTTAAGAGAGATACACGTAGGAATTTAAATATTTTTCAAATATTTTTAGGAATAATACTGAGATATTGCCCTAAGAGGTTTCCAAATTTTGTGACCACCCGAGCTCTAGGACCGGAGTTATCGATCAATAAGTATCGATAATGTAAGTAATAAATATTCGATTTTTTGCTGACCTTTTCTAAGAGAGTGCGTTTGGGTACAAGTAGAAATTGAAATATTTTTTCAAAAATTCTCAGGAATAATACTGAGATATGGCCCTAATAGGAGTCCAAATTGTTTGACCTTAGCTACTGTAGGGTTGGAGTTATCGATCCATAAATATTGATATTGCAAGTAATGAATATTCGATTTTGGACCTTTTTTAAGAGAGTGCGATTAGATACTAGAAGGAATTGAAATATTTTTTCAAAAATTCTAAGAAATAATGATGAAATATGACGCTAACAGCATTCCCAGTTTTGTGATCCATGGTGCTCTAGGATCGGACTTATCGATCCATAAATGTCAATATTGTAAGCAATAAATATTCGATTTGACTCACCTTTTTTAAAAGGAACACAATTGGATACAAGTAAAAGTTGAAATATTTTTTCAAAAATTCTCAGGAATAATACGGAGATGTGGTCCTAATAGGATTCAAAATTTTGTGATCCTTGGTGCTCAAGGACCGGAGCTATCGGTCCATAAATGCCGATATTGTAAGTAATAAATATTCCAGTTGTTGCTGACCTTTTCTAAGAGAGTGGGTTTGGATACAAGTAGGAATTGAAATATTTTTTCAAATTTTCTCACAAATAATGCTGAGATATGGACCTAATAGGAGTCCAAATTGTGTGAGCCTAGCTGCGGAGTTATAAGCCCATAAATTGATATAATGTAAGTAATGAGTATTTAATTTGGTTCAGACGTTTTTTAAGAGAGTGCGATTAGATACTAGAAGGAATTGAACTATTTTTTCAAAAATTCACAGATATAATACTGACATATGGCTCTAATACGGCTCCAAATTGTGTGAGCCTAGCTATTATAGCGCCGGAGTTATAAACCCAGAAATTTCAACACTGTCAACAAAAAATACCATATTTTTCCACGACATTTTTTTAAGAGAGCGCGATGGTATACAGGAAGAAATATTCCGTCAAAAATTTACAAAAATAATGTTGAAACACTACCCCAATTATGTGCCGAATTTTGTGACCCTAGTAGCTCTAGGGCAGGAGTTATAAGCCTATACATTTCAACTGTACGATATTGTAGTGATTTTTTTTTCTCAGAGGCCCTTAAAAGAGAACAGCGACGGATGTCAGAAAAAATTGATATATTTTATCAAAAATTTGTATGAATAATGTCGAAGTGTTGTTCTAATACTGTGCCCGTTTTCAGAATCTCAGCTAATGCTGGACCTGACTTATTGACCATTAAATATGAACAATTATGATATTGGTAATAAATTTTTCTCGGGAGATTTTAGGAGAGAGCGGTGAGTAATATAGGAAGGAATGGGCATTTTTCTTTAAAACTTTGTGTGAGTAATAATGAAATATTATTCTAATTATATGCCGAATATGGAAATCCTCACTTCTCTGGATCCTGACTTGGGGTCCCTTCAATATCAGCAATATACGAAAGTAATGTAAGGTTTGCTCTCTGACTCATTTGGTAAAGGGGAAATTTTCTCTTCAACAAATTGAGATATTTGCACAAAAATCACCACACATAATGCCAAAGTAATGTTTTTCAGATATCCAAACTTTTGGATCGCTATTGGAATTAGAGACAAACTTATGAGCCCTTTAATCGATCAAAACAGCTGAGAATCCATTTTATTTGAAATACATTTCTTTAGATTTCTCCCAACTTACCTTAAAAAAGTAACAAAAATTTTCAGAATTTTTCCGAATTTTACAGGTCCATTTTGTCCCCGTTATGGCCTTCAAATCAGCAATAATTATTAACAAATAACATTATTTATTTCAATTTAAAAACACTTTTCCTTAAATTAACAATTTTAGTTCTTAAAATGAAAACTTTAGTTTTTAATATTTTTTTTTCTCAGTTTGCCGACATCAAACAAATCTCAGCACTTCGCGTTGTGAAAATTCTTAACAAAAATTAAACTAATATTCAACGCCGATCCTCAGTCATCGACAGCTAACGCACGAATGTCTCCTGCGCCAGGCAATGCCAAGAAATCTCCCTCTCTACGAAAACGAATTTTTGCGCCCTCTTCTTATTGTTGTGCCATCAAACAACCGGTTGCTTGCCAAAAACACAGGCACGCACACAGAAGAAGCAAACTCTCAAGATGATCATGCTGAGAAACATTCATTCGTCAGCCTGTCTGTCTACCAGTCAGCCTGTCTGTCCGAAAACAAAACCACCCCATCATCAAAAATCTGAAAGATACCAACCATCCAACAACGTTTAAAGGAATTTTTGCACACAAATCTGTGCCCTTGGGCAAAAATACACAATCAAGGAAGAGCACAAAAACACATGTGAGAGAGTAACTCATCTGAGAGAGAGAAAGGTGTTATTGTTTGCTCTCGCTGTTATAAAACAGGTAGGTAGGCTGATGTTTCTTGTCTCTTCTCTTTGTTTTGAGAGCATTGAGTGGTGGAATAAACATCCATGTTGCAGTTAACAGTGGCGGATAAAAACACACCAACCTGTCAACAGGGGAGTTATTTAATGCAGCCGAAAAGTCAACAGATGGCGTTTTACAAAGTTAAATGATGTGGCCAGATAGCAAAAATTGTAATATGTAATTATTTTTGGATATTTTCGCATCAAGAAGAGGAGTGTCAAAAAAAAAAAAATGAGAATAAAGTTGTCCATACTTAAATTCAGGAATAAAAGAAAATACAGGGATGGGTATGTGATCCTTTACCCATAAATTTCAACTGAAATTTCTTCACGAAATTTATCCTGGTTTGTGAGAAATGTCATTTTGATACTCCAAATTTTGATCAAATTCAGGGTTTTTTACAAACATTCACTGAAACATAAAGAAGTTTGACAGAAGTGGAATATCGAGGACCCTAAAATTAAAAATAAAATAAAACTCCACAAAAAATACTCTCAAATGACCAATAATGAAGCTTATTTTGCCAATATCGTTCACATTTTAAATAAGTGGCATCTCTGGTGATAATTGTTTCAGCTAAGACACACACCTTAAATCATGATGAGAACTCTGAGACTTCTCGCTAGGGTCGCCTTTGGACAATGGAGGATAACTTTAATAGGATTTGATTCAAATAAAAAATACGTTCACACAAAATCCAATATATGTGGGCAGGCTTAAAAATATAAAATATAATATATATATTATATAAAAATTTATAAATATTTTTAAAAATATTATTATTTTGAAATATTAAAAAGAACACAATTTTTAAGGAACCATTTCAAAAAAAAAAAAAAAAAAAAAAAAGAAAAAAAAAAAAAAACAGACGAATATAAAAACCAAAAGAAACATTCAAAATACGTTCAATTTTTTTTAAATCGCGGAATATTGAAGAATTAAAAAAAAAATAAAGAATTCACGTTAGGTCTTAACTTAAAAAATATATTTTTCAAAAGAATACTATTTGGTTTTAAATTAAAAATAAATAAATAAAAATCCACGTTTTTTAAAAAATTGAAAAAATATTTTTTAAAAAATCTTCGCTTTGTAAGAATTTCAGAAAATATATTTTTTAAAATACCCGCCTTTTAAACAATTCAAAAACTATTTTTTTGGAAAAAAAAGATAATTTTTTTTTTTAAGAAATCCCCGTCTTATCTATACTTACATTTTTTAATAAATCTCCGCTAGGTAAAAATTTAGAAAAATATATTTTTTAATATATTCGATTTGCATCAACTTTGAAGAATATTTTTTAAAAAAATTCAAGTTAGGCCTCAACCTAAAAAAATATATTAAAAAAAAATCACATTTGGTCTAAACTTAAAAAAAATATTTTTCAAAAAAAATCACATTTGTTAAAAACTTGGAAAAATAGTTTTTAAAAAATCTCCGCTCCGTAGGAATTTCAAAAAATATATTTTCCGCCATTTTAATACTTCAAAAAATATTAAAAAAAAAAAAACATTTTTTAAGAATCTCCGCTAGTTGAAATTTTAAAAAATATATTTTTTAAAAATTTCGAGCCTGGTTAAAAACTTGAAAAAATATTTTTTAAAAAATTCACAATTTAAAAAAACTTGAAAAAAAATGTTTTTAAAAAAATCGAAAAATTATTATAAAAAAATAATAAAAAAATTGCCAAAAAATAATTCTTTAAATATTCATGATTTGTTTGACCTCCAAAAATATTTTATAAATATTTAATGAATGTATAAAAAATAATTTTTAATTCCTTGAATGATAGACAGTTCTGAAACATCGAAAATTTTTTTTTTAAAATCTTCTCGGGTTTGTAAAACCTTAAAAAAATAGTTTTTTTTAAAAAATCCTCGATTTGTTGAAATTGAAAAAAATTTTTTTTTGATATTTATGAAAGATTTAAAAAAATAGAAAAATATTTTTCAAAAAATCCACCTTTCTTAAAAATTGGAAAAATACTTCTATAAAAATCTCCACTTTGCAAGAATTTCAGAAAATATTTTTGACAAAATATCCGCCTTGTAAACATTCCAAAAAATATTTTTTAAAAAATTTCCGCCTTATGAACATTTCAAAAAATATGATTTTTTTAAAAAGTCTGCGCTTTGCGAAAAATGCAGATATATAAAAAATACTCGTCTGGTCTATACTTTATTTTTTTTAATATCCGCTAATTGAAAATTTAGAGAAATATGTATTTTTAAAACTGCGCTGTCTTTGTTAAATATTTGAAAAAATTATTTTTAAAAAATTCACAACTTAAAAAAACTTGAAAAAAATATTTTTAAAAAAATCGAAAAATTATTATAAAAAAATAATAAAAAATTGCAAAAAAATAATTCTTTAAATATTCACGATTTTTTGTCCTCCAAAAATATTTTATAAATATTTATTGAATGTATAAAAAATAATTTTTAATTCCTTGAATGATAGACAGTACAAAAAATTGAAAAATATTTTTTAAATATGTTCTCGGATTTGTTAAACTTTAAAAAAATATAATATTTTTTTTAATATTCTTGAAAGGTTTAAAAAAATAGAAAAATATTTTTCAAAAAATCCACCTTTGTTAAAAACTTGGAAAAATACTTCTATAAAAATCTCCACTTTGCAAGAATTTTAGAAAATATTTTTGACAAAATATCTGCATTGAAAACATTTCAAAAAATATTTTTTAAAAAATTCCCGCTTTGTGAACATTTCAAAAAAATAGGTTTTTTTTTAAATCTCCGCTTTGCTGAAAATTTCAGACAATATTTTTTCAAAAAACCATATCTTGTCTACACTTAATTTTTTTTAAATCTCCGCTAAGTGAAAATTTAGAGAAATATTTTTTAAAACTTCGCAGTCTTATTTAAATACTTGAAAAAATATTTATTAAAAAATCCACATTTTATGAAACTTAAAAAAAAATATTTTGTTAAAAAATCGAAAAAATATTATAAAAAAAATAATTAGAATAATAGAAAATTGCAAAAAATAATAATTATTTAAACGTTCACTATTTTTTTGACCTCCAAAAATATTTTTAATATTTTTAATTCTTTGAATGATAAACAGTATAAAAAATTGAAAAATATTTTTTAAAAATGTTCTAGTGTATGTAAGCCCTTAAAAAATATTTTCTTAAAAAATTCTCTAATTGTTGAAATTGAATTTTTTTGATATTCTTGAAAGAATTAAAAACTTATACTTTAAAAAATATTTTTCAAAAAATCCACCTTCGTTAAAAACTTGGAAAAATACTTCTATAAAAATCTCCGCTTTGCAAGAATTTTAGAAAATATTTTTGACAAAATATCCGTTTTGTAAACATTTTAAAAAATTTTTTAAAAAATTCCCGCTTTGTGAACATTTCAAAAAATAGGTTAAAAAAATTTCCACTTTGCTTAAAATTTCAGAAAATATTTTTTTTCAAAAACCCTGCCTTTTCTACACTTAATTTTTTTTTAAATCTCTGCGAGGTGAAAATTTAGAAAAATATTTTCTTAGGAACTCCGAGCTTTGTTAAAAACTTGAAGAAATATTTTTTAAAAAATCCAAGTTTTTTAAAAATTAAAAAAAAATTAAATCCAAGTTTTATAAAAATTTTTTAATATTTTTTTAAAAAAAAATCGGAAAAATAATGAAAAAAAAAATAATCAAGATAATAAAAAATTACAAAAAACAATATATAATATTAAAAATATAGTATTTTTCAAAAAATCGAAAAAATTATAAAAAAATAATTAAAATTATAAAAAATATAATAAAAAAATTACAAAAAAAGTGTTTTGAAATATTCATAATTTTTGGACCTCCAAAATAATAAAAATAATAAAAAATTGCAAAAAAAAATAATTCTTTAATTATTCACGACCTTTTTGACCTCCAAAAATATTTTATAAATATTTACTGAATGTATAAAAAATTTGTAAAACCTTAAAAATATATTTTAAAAATTCTCGATTTGTTGAAATTAAGAAAATATTTTTTAATATTCTTGAAAGAATTAAAAAATTATATTTTAAAAAATGTATTTCAAAAAATCCACCTTTGTTAAAAACTTTGAAAAATACTTCTTTAAAAATCTCCGCAAGAATTTTAGAAAATATTTTTGACAAAATATCCGCATTGAAAACATTTCAAAAAATATTTTTTAAAAAATTCCCGCTTAGTGAACATATCAAAAAATATGTTTTTTAAAAAAATCTCCGATTTGCCGAAAATTTCGGACAATATTTTTTGTAAAAAAAACTTTGTCTTGTATACAGTTAATTTTTTTTTATCTCTGATACGTGAACATTTAGAAAAATATTTTCTGAGGAACTCCGAGCATTGCTAAAAACATGAAAAAAATATTTTTAAAAAAATTCACAATTTAAAAAAACTTGAAAAAATATTTTTTAAAAAATCCAGATTTTATAAAAATTTGAAAAAAAATATTTTTTAAT